GGGGGGGGGGGAGTGAAGGAAGAGAATGGAGGTGAGTCCCGCGTCGCAAACCTTCACCAAACCACGTGGGCCACTTGGAGAGTCCCCCCGAATCCCGGACGGGGACGCAGCGTCCTGGGCTCTGCGCGGCCCGCTTGGTCTGGTGCGTCCTCAGGCCGCTGAGAACCGTGCGCGCCGACCGTGCGCCTCGCCTTTCCTGCTGGCTCGACACCTGACCCCTCCCCTGGGATTATGTACACGCATCGTTGGGCTTCATGGATGTGGAAAGGGGGGCAAAGGTAGGTTTGGGGGGCACGTCCGGCTTTAGCGAGGGGGTGCGCTTCAGCCCCGACCTGGTCAATGAGTTGTAGGCGTTGAGGCTGGGCTGCCTCGAGACAGTCACGGCCGGGCCGGGCGGCTGAGCGCCGTGCACCTGGATGGAGTCCACCCGCTGCGGGGCGGGGGGCGGGTTGTCTCCCCGGCCAAAGCTCTGGTTCCTGGAGAGGTGGGAGGAATTGGAGGAGTTAGTATTGTTTCTTTTGAGAGTGGTGGCCTGGTGGCTTCTCGTGAGCGAGTTCGTGGGGTAGCTCCTCTTATAGTCAAGCCCGTAGGAGGAGGAGTGGTGCATCTCCAGCCGCTTGCTCAGGCCGCCCTGAGACAGGGAGGCTCCCGGGGGGCCCAGGGAGGCCTCCCGCTGGGGGACCTTGGGGGGCAGGCTGTCCAGGTTCTCCACTAGGTTCACCCCATGGTTGGGACTCTTGCTGCTGAGATGTTCCTTGATGGTCTTATACTCCAGGGTGGCCGCCTGGTCCTCCAGGGCCATCTGGGCCACCTCGCTCATTTTGGGCTGGTCCACGTACTCATGCTGGTAGCCCTGCTGGGTGATGGGCAGGACCACCACGCTGGGGATGTGGCTGGGAGAGGCCCGGAGGGGCAGGTCGGTGGGAATGACGGGGGAGCCCATGGGGGGCATGTCCTTCGTGCAGGCGTTGATGAGGTTCTGGTTCCTTTCCCACTCGCGGCTGCCGCGGCTGGGCTTGCGCTTCTGCTGCAGCGTGGGCGTGGACTCGGGCGTGGGCAGCGCGGCCAGGTCCAGGTGGTGCTGGTCGGCCTTGATGAGCATCTTGGCGGTGCTGCTGGGAGTGGCGAGCTTGCCGTTGTGCATGAGCGGCGTGAGGATGGCCTCTGGCTTTGGCTCTTTGGACTGGGTGTCACCGAAGAGGCCGCTGAGCTTGGTGACACTGCTCATGGAGCCCCGGCGCGAGTGGGCGAGCTCCTCCTTGCGCTGCGCCGCGGACACGTCTTTGCGCCGGTGGTCGCACACGCAGTAGACGACGATGCCCGAGAAAACGGCCCCCATGACAAAAGCCAGAATGACCGCAATGGCCAAGAGGGTGACAGGAACGAGCTGGTCGTGGCCTTTGAGGTAACTTTCGCGAATCACTCCTGCAACAGACATCGCATATGGTGTTAGGAAACGAAAGGGCGCTGCAGAGCATTTTTTTGTTTGGCATTCACCCTGTTAATTAATAACAGTAATAAGTGACAATAGCACCTCAGCATAACTTGTCATCAAGGCGCAGCTTGCCAGACATTAACTAATCCTCCCCAAGCCCCCCTGTGAGGTATGTAAATAGACTTTGTTGCCTTCTTTGTGTTCTGAGAAAGGACTTGCTCCTACTTTGCTTCACTCTGTGGAAAAAGGCAGCTTGTCTTTTCCAAAATTTAACCCTTTCCCCCTCTTCATCTTTTTTCAATCTTCCCCTCATAAAATTGGGACAACCGAGATGTTTTGAGTCAGGGGGAAGAGGCAACAATTTTACCCATGTTAAACGAACAAACTGCACAGGGTTCCAGGGTCCTTTCTGATGACTTCCTTGTGGGTGCCAGGGCCCCTGTCTGGGAAAAAGCTATGTCTGCTTTTCAAGCAACTGGAGGGAAGACTGTGTGTGTCATTGACAGTGAAAGAAAATAGCTGCAGCTCACAGATTACAAATATATATTGACTTTGCGTCACCTCTCAAAAAACAAGAAAAACTCATGCACACCCGATTTCAGGTGAATATGCTGAATATTTGAATTAAGCTCTTCCCTTACTTGAACTAAAAGAATATTTAGAAAAGGGGACCCATTTGGGTCCCTGAAGTGGGTTTGAGAAGTGTCAAGGCTCATTATTCCGGCTAGAGTTTGCTGTCACGGTGAGATACCTCAGCAGAGCTAATTTCTTCAATTTAATAAAAATCATGTGACTACACCTGTCAGTAATCTTACACTACATTAACCAAGACGCTGTGTTTCTGAAGGAAGTTGCTGTCCCTGTTCCTGCTTAATCAGCCACCAAGCTGAGAGACTATAATCAAATGCAAAACACTGAAGCTTTTATTTTTAATACCAAGTGAGAATACACGTCACTATTGCCAGATCTTAAGTGCTTGATGCGGTAGCTAAAAAATAAAATCTCAGCTACTTCAACTCCTGCCTCTGGAGTTGAATACATTAGAGGAACCGCACCCACGGGCTGAGGAAATGTAAACATTGTTCCTATTATGGAAACTAATAGTAAGACCAAAAATGTACCTTCTCTGGTCCCAGGAGACACATTTTTCATCTACTAAATCAACTCTTTCTGGAATATGTTTAATGTATTTTCCTGGCAGATATCAGTGGCACAGAATTAGAATGAAACAAAATAAAAATCTCCACCCCTCCCCAAACCCACAACATGTAACTGCTCAACTTCTGCTGAAATCCTATGTTATGTCCCAGCTGAGACCTTGAAGAAATGCAGCTTTGTCTTGGGGCTTTTCTGCTAAAATATTTTGATTAGTGAAGTGATGGTTTTAAAACTCAGAAACCTTAGCCTGAGACGATACATTCTCTTTTCTTTCTAAACTGTCCTCCTCTCCTCAATGGTGACATCATAGCTGGTTGCTGTGGAAATGATTGTCCAGTGACAAAGGATTGTGACTTCAGGTGAGTAATACATAGAAGCAACAGATATCTCTTGAGAAAGAAAGATTCTGTGATTAAACAAATGCCCTTGGTAGTGAAGGGCAGGGGAAGCAATTCACCCCAGGGAAAGTGTGTGTGAGATGGTAAGACACTGAATAATTTCCAAATGTGACACTTTTCAAATATTTCTAGATTTATCATCATGAACTTTTAAGGGGTAGAAACTGAGAAGCAAAAAGCAGCAGGAAATTCAGCTGTAACTCACACCTTTTATGTTGTGGAGCTCCCCTAACAGTGGGCTGTCTTTGTGTTCAGATATGTTTTAATGCTTTAGTCACCAAGGAGCTGTGCTAATGAAAATTTCTTCCTTAAATTTGCATTTTTCATGTTGTAATGCTTAAACAGCATTGCTTTTCTTTCCATTTTGATTGTGTATGGAGTTCTACCGAATATCATTTTTAACCACTTCCATATAATGCTACTAAAAGGTAAGCTGTGAATGAGATGGGTTTAATTTCCCTCCATGATTTGGTGATCTTGGTGGGGCTAGACACCACTGATGGGGGTACTAGGTAAATTTTTTTCATAGCAAAGGGTATTTCATGAATCCCTTTCAGGCAAGCATGTTTGTAGGGGCTGTGTCTTCCCAACAAATGCATATTCATAATAGGTAGCTATCTACGATTGGCTTTGGAATTTTACAGTTTAAATTGCCCTCCCAGTTTAAGAGGAACATGAAATAAATAAGGCTAGAGCAGCCCATTTTTTTTCATTCATTGTTTAATTGGGAATACTGCAAAAGTTTCAAATTTGCCCATTGCTGCTTTACTTTTAGCTTCCAGTCTACCTTTCATGTCTGATGGTCCTCGACTACCTTAGACTCATGGAAACCATTTGCTCTTTCACTGGGAAAAACTGTTTCTTACCCGTCTCCTTTTGTTATGTAAATAGTGCCCCTAACCTTTCTGTGTCTCTTCAGCTGTGGTATCTATCACAAAGCAGGTGGCTTCCCTCATTTGTCTGTGGAAATTCAGAAACCCCACGTTGAAAGTTAGAAAGAGTCAGGGGGTTAAGTTGAAAACGCAGTCAAGAAGTTAAAAGTTATTTTTGGAAAATGCCTTCTAAACTTGAAGCTTTTTGCTTATATCATGAAAAACGACAAAGGGGCATTCATGGAAATGATTAAATCAACTCTGTGACATTGGAGTTTTGGGCTTCCGCTTACTGCTGGGTGATCTTTTGGCAAGCGACTTAAGGTCTCTCTGGGCCTCGTTTTTCATCTGTGATGTGGGGTTAACACACCTAATTTTAATGCCTTATTGGGCTGTTGCAAGAATCAAATGAAATAATGAATAAGAAAGAACTTAGATGCTGTAGTTTGCTGGACAAATCTAAAGGTCAAGCCACAAAAGAGAAGTGGTGCGTTAGCACCTCACCTAGGGCTTAAGACCAACAGTCACAGCTGCTCCGTTTGGCTCCATTTGCCATGGATCTCCAGGGGGAGAGGGGACAGGCGTGTTCTCCCAGCTCCAAACCCTGTGCTGTCCAAATGTTGCCAAAGGCTGATAAGTTGAGGCAACAAAAGAAAACACTGTCCGAATTCTGAAATAAGTAAAACAACAGAAGTGGGCAATGTTCAGCAAAACAGTGATTACAGTTAGACTTCTCCTGGGGCATAATCCTGCAATCAGCTCCCTGAGGATGGGAACCGAATTTTATATGCATTCCCAGGGCTCTAAGGCACTTAATAAATGATTAGTAAATAAATGGGTTTGCAGTGCATTGTCGAGACATTTTTAAAAGGACTGCTAAACGTGGTGGGTCTTCTTTGGAGTGACTATAACCTTGCTTCTGAAGTCACAGAAACATATCTCCAATCATAGAATGTAATCATACTCACATCCGTTAGATAAAAGAAATATATAAAGGTGCTCAGTACTTGTTTAAAACAATGAAAGAAACTATTTTAAAAATGAAAAGAAATTCATTCCGGGATAATTCCAAAAGAGATGATGAAGGCAAATGGGTTATTTGTAACGAGTGATCAGGTGGAACTGAAAAATTTGAAACAAATACATCTGTGCAAAGGGTGCGGGGCAACCCTGGGGAAGTGAAAGGGCCTTTGAGTGGTGGTACACTCCCTCCCCTATACTTCCTCCCTGTAGAGGGACCCATTAGAGTCGGCTTCTCTACCAACCCCTGGGTTTTCTGCTCTCACCAACTAAAAATGGGGCATTAGTAATGAAAACATTTTCTGAAAAATCCTTTGCATTGATTCATTAACCACAAGCTATTTCTCACCAGTCATGAGGTGCTAAATGGTTTATTCTTTCCACCTTCCTACTGCAGGAAGCAAGGCACACAATGGCTTAGAGATTTCTCTGAAATCATGCCTAAATTGGTAGAAGTGAGAAAGAATAGAATCTCCACTCTTTTTTTTTCCCTGAGGTGAGAGAATTTTCAGATGCTGGAGGGCGGTCTCAGAGGGGCAGTTTAACGGGCTTTAGAGGTTGAAGCAATGAAAAGATTATGAACAACCCTGCCCTCCAGGCCCTGCAATATGTAATTCAAAATAAGAACAATTATAAGCTCAGAAATAAGAGGAAGTCCAACACAGTTCTGATTTTTCCTGTGATGACCACGTCAATGCATTTTGAAATTTCAAACATCAGATTCTTTAAGAAATGGTTTCTGGTGGCTCTGCTTGCAGCTTCCCTACAGTTGCCTAGTCTCCCCGGGGAGCCCAGTACCAGGCTCCGGAACAGCACGCCTCAGGAAAGGTGCTCTCCTAACCCGGGCTGCACTGTGATGTTCCTGGTGCCTTCACCGTCACTCTCCTGGTATAACAAGGTTTCAGCTCCAACTATCTTTGTGGCTGCCTCCAGCAAACATTTACTGAGCATGGACGAAGGCACTAGGTGCTGGGGAGACAACAGTGAAGGAGGCACAAGCCTGTGATGCAGGAGGGGAGGAGGCAGGCGCTCACACATGAACTGCATCCGAAGGGTGGAAGCATCACGAGATACATCACTTCTACTTCAACATGGGCAAAGGTTTTCTGTAGGAGGCGGCATTTGAACTAAGCCTTAAGAACGCATAGGATGTCACCCCAGCAGGGTGGCTCAGTTGGTTGGAGTGTCACCCCGTACACCAAAAGGGTTGAGGGTTTGATCTCCAATTGGCGTGTATGAGAGGCAACCAATTGATTCCCTCTCTCCCTCACTCCCTCCCTCTCTCTAAGATCAATGAACATATCCTCGGGTGAGGATTACAAAAAAAAAAAAAAAAAAAAGAATGCACAGGATGTCAGCTGAAGTGGAGAGAGCAACGAGAACCAAGGCTTGGAGGAAAGGAAAAGGGAAGGCTGTGCTCATTAATGGGAAATGGCCTAATTCCCTTCTAGTCTCTTCTCTATGTCCCAGCACTATGCTGGGCTCGAACTTGCTTCTAACCTTTCACACAGGCTGCTCTCTGTCTGGAATATCCTTGCTCAT